GAACTCCAGCGGGTTCTTGACCTTTCTGATTAAGGTAAGCCTCAAGATATTCTAAACCTTTCATTTTTATTTCTATGATTTGATTTTGACCTTGTGGATGTATTTTGAATGTTGAGGTAACACTGAATCAATGAGGGGGAGATTCCTCAGTTTTTCCAGCAAAGAAACAATGGTCGTCAGGCCCTTTTTCCAGCCAACACCATCCATGACTTGACCTTATTTTGGTATGGATTTGTTCCCTACATTTCTAGCTTCAAATTGGTCTTTGAATCATTGATTTTGGTAGTGAATCGAGCAAGAAGTTAGGCTAAACATGTACTTTGCGATGAAGGTGAGTATGCATGTACTTGTAGGTGTGTGGATGTGGTCCCCGAATGCGGCGCGTGGTGGCCTGTGCAACAACCTTGTGGCGGTGCGTGGAGGAAACTCGAGGTCTCTTTTTAGGTTTCTCGATGTGCCGAATCCAAATCTGCCCTCCATTTTTCCAAATTCAATCATTTTAAAATAGTCCCTTTATTAACCATACTTTATACGATACGTATACGCGAATTTACGATAGTACGTTAAATATTTACGTGAATGGTTTCATTTCTAGGTAAAATGTGTCACAAGGATCTTTGATGTTGGCGAGGTGGGTTCAACCCAACGACATGATTTTGAGTGGGTCTTTACTTTTAAATATTGAATATTTATTTAGTTTCTGTGTGTGTATATATATGTATATATATTTTATAAAGAATTTTCTATGTTATGCCTATATTAGACTAACGTTTATAAGAATTAGCGGAATGACGGAATTTATGAAATTATCTTAAATCATACGGGATGCACATGTATGCATACTATTATGGGATGCCTTAATTATATTTGCAATCATAAATACTATTTTATTGACTAGAATTATCAAATTACCATGGCATGGTCATACTTATATTACTGCTCATCATGCATCCTACACTGGTGTTAGTACTCACCATGGTCAGTCTTCACGTGTATGCTCACATCGCACCAATACGCTCACTTTTGATCCATTGTAGGTGCCAGTCTTGTCCTAGATTGCTATAGGCAATTAGGACTCGTATATGATGCGCACAGCGTCAGTTTTCACGTTATTGTGGTATTAAAGCATAAATTATTATTACATCCAGTCATGTTCATGTCAAAATATCTTTGCATGAATTCGTGTGTCAGTATATGTTGATGAAAACCTAATATTGTGTGTTCGTTTATGCGAGATATGACAATTACAGGATGTTATATGTTTTACATGTGAAATATTGCAATTTACCATATTTCTGAAATGTTATTGTTACACTAAGTGTTTTCATACTATATGTAGTATATATATTTGGAAACTACTTTTGTTTTACGATGAGGGATTATACGTTTTCGAAGGGGTTTTTACAAACTTTATTTTCAGTCTCACTCACCCTTGTTTTTCGCTCCTTCATGATTTAGTGGCAGAGCTCTTGTGTTGACGATGATTTCTAGCAAAAGTTGGTATTGGAGACTACTTCCGATGGTATAATTTTTATTCTAGTTTTACTGTACTTTACTTATGCTCTGACATCACATGCGAAATAGGTTCAATGTGCTCATATGCGCACTCTTGCATTTAGTCACTTTTATGTTTAAATTTACTCATATTTTCCACATCACCACATTTTATGGCTTCACCACCTTCCTGGTGTCGACCAGCACATCTCGATTTAGAGTCCAGGTGGACAGTCCAGGTCGGGATGTGTCACGTTTTCATGTGGAGCAAAACTCACACTTGATAATTTATTATTGAATACAAGACGCCACATGATAGTAAATAAGTTCCATGTAAATCCTTCTCAAGGTGGTGAGGGTTAATATAATCCTCATTAAACAACCATCCCAATTCCCATGTAGGGTTACCTATAAATGCTGAATCCTGAATATGTAGGTTACTCCAATATTTTAGATGTCTTCAAATGCTTTGAATTAATATCTTCCCAGTTTATAATCTGTTCTAATCTATGGACTGTTTATTTTCTTGAATGCACAAATCATCCTTATGATGCGATCCACATGTCAATGTTATTTATATGGTGGAAAAATTCATAATATGTACAATTTCTCTCTTTCTTTTTCTTTTTCTTTTTTTTTTTTTTTTTGCTAAATCAAACCAATGTGCTCCTCACTTACATGTTATTCAACAAATTCAATGCCTAAAATATGTACAATTATCTAAATCACATAGATAAACTCAACAAAATTTGGATAAAAGGTTTGATACTAAACTAATATTTATAAGAAACGTAACCACAAAGGTAATCATACGAGTTCTTCACCACATGGATAAAAAAAAAACGTTGGATATATAAATAATTAAAGGGAGGTTGTTCGATTCCTTGGCGTTTGTGGAACATCGTTGAGGATATTAAGGATAAGGATTGTCTGCCCTTCCACTTTCGGTGTCCTCTCGTGTCCTCCTGTTTGTGTGGTCAATGTTAAGTCACGTCAACATTTTATATTACTATTCATTTTTGTCTTATTATCTCTATAAAAAAATAATATAAAATATTAACGTAACTTAACTGTGATCACACAAAATAGAAGAGCACGAAAGGGCACCAAAAGTGGGATGGCAGACAATCCTTGTCCGATATTAATGGCTCGGAACAACTTTTGAGGCGATTACTTGGAATCATGTTTATAAAAAGGACTTGGATTGTCTGCCCTCCCATTTAGGTGCCCTCCCCGTGCCCTCCTGTTTTGTGTGGTCACGGTTAAGTCACGTCAATATTTTATATTATTTTTTTATAAAAATAATAAAACAAAAAGAAATAATAATATAAAATGTTGACGTGGCTTAACCGTGACCACAAAAACAGGAGAGCACGAGGAGGGCACAGAAATTGGAGGGCAGAGATCCAAGTCCTTATAAAAAAGCTAACTTTATTACGGATGTTATTACTAGTACAGAGTTCGATTTTAATAACTTTCATATTTGGTATAGAACCTTGACCCCTGTAGCAAGAAAAGTTTTAATTTTTTACTGTATTGAAATTAGTTGTGATCGTAGACATTCTATTTAATCTAGGTATTGGTTTTTTTCTATAAAAAAAATATTGTAAAAAATCGAGTACCTTGAAAAAAAAACACAAGAAATAGAAATAAAATAGAGAGGGGATGGGTGCAAGGCAAATGTAATGCATGATGATTGATGACATGTGTTTTGGGATATGAATATTTACGAACGAAATGAACATAGTATTTACAAGTATTGATATCCATGCACGACGGCGGATCGAGAATTTTGTCATGTAAATAAATAAATATACTAAAAATTTTAATGCCATTATTTGTGCAAGAAAAAGAATAAGAAAAAGAAATCATCTTTATTTTTTATTCAAAATGAAATTAAAGCAATATTAAAAAAGAAATACATTTGTTGTAAAAAAAAATACAACTAATTCTTTAATATTATGGCATTCAACCCACTATCTATCTGATGAAAATGAACTTGCCCCACTAATAAAAGAACAATATTTGGCTACTCAAAGATAGGGGTGGGCGCGGTTCGGTTTGGTGCGGTTTTGAGTGAAACCAAAACCAAAACCGCAAGTTTTTGTGGTTTGGTTCGGTGCGGTTTTGAAGCCAAAACCAAAATGAAACCAAACTGTTTGGTTCGGTTCGATGCGGTTTCAAACGGTTTCGGTTTGATTTTTAAGAAAAAATGTACAATTTGCAATTTAACATATTAAAAAGCATTTCCCAATAGTAATAGGAAAATGACATTTGTTATGTAAACAATTAGCATGTTGCATGTAGTTGTGATGTTAAAACATGTTTGTGCAACAAAAAGGTGTCCCTTACAATATTTTTCATAAAACAAGTTGAATAAATTTGAATTCATTAAACGTGAGCGAAATTTTCATACTAGAATATGTGATATCATGCTTCAAATGAGTGGCCTTTAGTAGATCATTGTTCGACTCTTGATAACAAGATTAGTCCACCCTTGTACATATATGTGTGTGTGATGGTATAAAATAACAAAGGTCCTTCAAGTTAATGAACAAAAGAAAGTGATGAATGATGATATTCTAGTGTGGTTGAGTCCATACTAAGTGTATGGATTTTAATTTTAACAAACGACCAATTAAAACATGAAATCTAATATGGACATTTAATTAAATGTTTATTAATATTTGCGGTGCGGTTCGGTTTCGGTGCGGTTTTCAAAAGCCAAAATCGAAACCAAACCGTTTTCTATGTTGCGGTTCGGTTTCAAAACCGAAACCGTTTCAAAACCGCAAAACCAAACCGTTCGGTGCGGTTCGATTTGGTTCATGTTTCGGTTTCGATTTTCGGTTCTAAGTGCCCACCCCTACTCAAAGATGAGTAGGAACTTCTACTCAAAATTTCTCAAAAATGTTCGTTGTCAATTTTAAAACTTCGTGTTTATAATCAAAGCTATTTATATTATAAATCACCCTATAAAGACTGTCTCTGCAAAAAATCAATTAAAACTAAGGTCGCCTCATCAAACTATTTAAAAACAAATGAACAGTATTGGTAAAGCATTACAAACTATCTATGTATTTGCTACAATAGATTGATTAAGCGACCTTACTTTTAATTTATTTTTTTTGCAGAGAAGATCTTTACAGTGTGATTCATAATATGAACAGTTCTGATCATAAACACAAAATTCTATGATTAAAAAACTAAGAGATTTGAGTATGAGTTCATACTCATCTTTGAGTAGTCAATTATTGTTCCTAATAAAATCGATAACAAACATATACGTTTAAATGGACGACAACTAATTGTGCCAGACCTATTTGGTTTTAAAGAAACGCATTACTTCAGCCAAAGAATAGCACATGGTCAATCGGCCAAACCCACATATCCACACCACAGCCCATATAAGACCCAAACCCACACCATAAACCATATTTAAATCAAGAAAATGACAATTTCGTAATTAAAACCAAGTTTCTTGTTCAATTGAACCACGCCTCCCCAAATAGAGTAATTTTGTTTGTATGTATGGGGAAGGAGAGGACCAAACAAGCCATTATCACAGCCTATCAAACACCAACAGACCAAGGGTTCCCCTTTCCAGTTTTTGCTGTTTTCGAGGTCATTTCCTTGGCACTCTCTTCGGTACTCTCTCTCTCCCCTCTTTACTTTCTGGATTTATAGATTGGGATATCACAAATTCTAGAACTTGATTGTCATCCTGCACTCTAGGAACCAGAAAGGGCACAGCTTTAGGTACACACACTCTCCGACGTAAATCTCAAGTTGAAGTCTGTTTATTTTTGTGTGAAGTGGTTTTCTGGTTTTGATGATTTGGCCGGTGGGTTTTCATTTGTTTGATAAAATTTTGATCTGGATTTTGGGTATTTCTTGATTTGGGCCATTTCGTTGATTTGATGTTGTTATTGATTGCTCACGACCTGCGGTTGTATGTTTGGTTGCTCGGAAAGTGAAGGAAAATGAAAATTTATTGTTAAATTGTGTGTGTGTGGTGGGGGAGATGGATTTCAGCTGGGTAGACTACAGAATCGTTACTAATTTCAGATGGCCAAGAAAAAGGGTAAATATTGTATATGATCAGTGTGTCGTTCTGCTTTCTTTGTCATGGAAATTGTTTGCTTCTGAATGATTAACGAAGTTGGACAATGCAAAATTACAGTTGTTAGATGCTAATTGAAGTATTCGTATGCGGGTGCGGGTGCGCGCGCACGTGTGGGGTTCAGCTGAAGAGGGTATGGACCGTGTTGTATGTTCATGGTGGGTAGACTAGATAGCAAAGCATTTAACTGCTACTTTTCGACTGCCAGGCAGATAAGCTGAATATTGTGTAGGATAAAATGGTTATTTGGTTCCTTTATAGTCGAATCTGTATAATTAAATTACAGTTCTCGTATGTGAATTGAAAAGTTTCTACAAATTTTATCGAATTTTTTAGATGGTACAGTTGTTTTGACCAGATTGAACTCAAGTAAAAACTCAGGGACTCGTTAATACAAGCTGAAATCATAAGTAGATCGACCAAAAGTTGGTCTATTTCTTGAGTGATGGTTATAATACATATTTTGCGAAATTTCACGTGTTAATATATGCATATGCTTTATGTATCATTTTCCCGTGTTGATTTTCATGCTATCATTGCTTCCCAAAATTGCTTCATATGACAATTTACTCGTACTTGTTTCCTTAGGTCTAGGCATAAGGGATGAGTACACTAGATGCAACCAGAGCCGAACTTGCTCTTGCAGTTCTGTATCTGAACAAGGCTGAGGCCAGGGACAAGATATGCAGGGCAATACAATATGGTTCTAAATTCTTGAGTAATGGAGAACCTGGAACAGCCCAAAATGTGGACAAATCGACTAGTTTGGCACGAAAAGTTTTTCGTCTGTTCAAGGTTAGGATTTGTGTGACATATACCCTTTAATATTGGTACAAACTTTCTTTGTGGCTGTCGTGCTCCTTTTAAATTTTTGGAAGAACCAGAGGGAGGAAGGATGATGCTTCGGCAATTAGGCCTTTGCTAAGTTTTTTGTATCCACTCTCATGCTTATTAGGAGGACCTTTAGTTGTCCAAACGAAATATGACGTAGAACTTGAATTTCAAGCCTTTCTGTTCTTGAACGTTTTATGATTTTTGGTTCAGTTTATCAATGATCTGCATGGTCTTATTAGTCCAACCGCTCCAGGGACTCCTCTTCCACTTGTTCTGCTGGGAAAGGTATAGATATAATCTACTTCCGACTAAAATCTATGTTCTGATTTTTCTTCATGATGACAATCTACTTTGATGCTTTACAGTCCAAAAATGCATTGCTGTCAACATTTCTGTTTCTTGATCAAATTGTCTGGCTCAGTAGAACAGGTATTTATAAGGTACGTATTATTATCACATTTCCCGTACAATTGTTATCTATTGGGTTCTGTGATATTCAGTGGGGTAAAAGTTTAGAAATTATGTTTGTTATAGAACAAAGAACGTGCTGATCTGATTGGCCGGATCTCGCTTTTCTGTTGGATGGGCTCCTCAATATGTACCACTTTGGTTGAGGTTCGTTACTTCCTACCCTTTACCTTTTTCGAGATATACATGGCATGAACAATGTATTCTTATTGCTTCCTAAGTCAGATTGGGGAGATAGGAAGGATTTCTGGGCAACTTAAGAAGTTGGAGAAGGATCTGAAGAACAGTGAGAAGTATCATGTATGTTGACCACAGACCTTGTAAATCCATTGACCATAAAAAACTTCGAGATAGTACCACTTTCTTTACATTTTCATGTGGATTTGTGACTGCAGAATGAACAATACCGTGCTAAACTCAAAAAATCAAATGAGAGGTCACTGGCCCTGGTTAAAGCAGCGTTGGATACAGTGGTAGCAGTTGGGTTGCTTCAGTTGGCTCCTAAGAAAGTTACTTCTCGTGTTACTGGAGCCTTGGGATTTACGACTTCTCTGATCTCATGTTATCAGGTTTTTATACTACCTTCATCCATGAACATTTGTCTGTATGAATTTGTAACGGATCCAAAGGCGTTTTTACTATTGTTTTCGACTGAGTCTCCTTTGCGCCTGTGATGCAGTTGCTTCCAGCACCAGCAAAGTCCAAGGCAGCCTAAAGATCGAAGTCTGTTTGCTTGATGTGCTTCAGCGTCCGCTTAATAATTGTTTATACTTTTATATGAGTATTTGTTAGTTGAAACGTTTGAGCAATTTGAAAACTAAAACTTTAACCATTACTTTGTTACCATCAATAATGCTCTGTGCAATAGAAATTAGTCATTTGATAATTGTATCAGCTCAGCAGCATAACTTTCGTTAGGGTTTGCGTTATCTGTTTTTTAATTTTTTTAACGATATTATCAACACTAAAGGGATGGAGAGTGGGATAAGCCTCATATTGGACTATTAATAATGTGGTTCAAATTTGTCTTTGGCGAGAATTGAACTTTAAGACATCTCACTTATAAGCCGGGCCGGCCCAGGCCCAGTGCTGGCAGGGCGACTGTTTGGGGTCCAAAATAATTGGGGGCATCAAAATTATTAGGTCGGTATATTTATATATGTTTTCATAAGAGTATAAATTTATAAAATTTGGTTCAATGATAAAGAAATTGAACTAGAATTCGTGGTTTTGTTGTTTAAAATTAATGATGAGGTATTGGGTTTAAAACACTATGTGTGCTTATTTATTTTTCAATTTTTACAAATTTCTTTTCATCATAAGAGTATAAATATATAAAATTTGACCAAATAATCAAGAAGTTTAATTAAAATCAGTGGTTTTTGTTGTTTAAAATTAATGAGATGTCCTAAGTTCGAAATGCTAAGTGCATGTTTATTATTTTCAATTTATACGAATTTTTGTTTGGTTGTTAATTTATTTTTAATTAGTAGCTAGTAGCTATGTAGATTGTTATTTTTAAACATTAATTTGTTCCAATTCAAGTCTAATCTTCAACAAAAAGTCATGCATTAACCAAATTTTTAAACCAAAGTTGTAAATAATATGACGTGTCATCAAAAAGTTTAATTTAGTACCCATTTATTACTTATACATATTAATTAAAGACTCAAAAACATCATTATTTTTTTAGTCCCATATTGACAAGACTAGTAAATAAGAAAAAACACCTCATGATTTATACAAAAACACTTTAAAAGTTAAGATAGAAAACAAAATTCATATCTATCTACTTGTAAACCCAAAGTTTTTTTGTTTCCTTCTCACGATACAAAATAAATTAGTTTTTCTATGTTTATAAATTATTAAGTTTGAAGTACTTTTCTAAGTATAATTTTATAGATGTCTTAAGTGTGAAAATAAATAATTTTCTTATATAAAGTGAGGGCACATTTGTTGGCGTCGCCCTGGGCCTCAAAAATCTCTAGACCGGCCGTGCTTACAAGTGAAGAGGAATACTATATTTTCTATGTTTAGATGTTGATCCGACTTCGTTAGCGTTTCATCTAGGGTGTAAGGAAAATCTATTTTCCAATACGAAAATTTTGTGCCAAATCCGAAAATTTATAATTCTGAACGTTTTTGAATAAAATTGAATGGAAATTGAATTGAAAATAATCTGGGAACTCTATATTTCTGATCTTATTTTTTTCGCAACTTGCACCAAATGGAAGGAAAAAACATTGAATTGCATTGCATTTATGCAAAAGTTTGAAAATTTTCAAAAACTTGTATTCCAAGTTTAGAATAAAAGTTGGATTCCATTTTCCCTTTTTAGGGAGTGGAACTCGTCTCTAATCCGATACGTCCAACAAACACCTACTCTATTCTAGTCGATATTAAGAAACGTTCAAAATATAGACCCAATTATAGAATTACGTCCAAAATAGGTCCAAAGTTCAATTCTCTCCAACGTAACAAAAGCAAGAACAGTTTTTATTTACTTGCAACAAAAGAGTAAGAATAGAAGATTAACGAAAAAATGAAGGGCATGTAAAATTAAAATAATTTTGAATCTCGAGTTCCTACATTTACTAAAATGTAAATATACAAATCAATTCACTTTTAAATCTTCCCTCTGTTCGCTAACATGTAAGGAGTCGTGTTAACTACCCCTTTAAAATTCATAATCAAATACCTAAATATCAAGAATTAGATCAAGTAGGGAGGGCTAATTGATATGAACCCATTTCCTAGGTCATCTCCAATGGAAAAAGCTAAAGGTCCAAAAGTAAAAAAATAGCATGATTTGTCCAAAATTCATCTCTAACTGATGATTGTTCTATGGCGTCCACCGGATCATTATTTGGTTAAATGTAGCCCCCCCCCCTCTTAGCTCTTTTTTTGGGGCCCAATACTTCAGTTGCAATGATTGATTCAAATTCAATCGCTAGATTTGAAAACATCCAAAAGCAATTTAATTAAAATAACCAATAAATTCAAAGTATAAACTTAAAATTTATAAATTATTGAGGGAGCGAAGTTTAGCCCCTTTGGTTGGAGATGGTATGAGTATGACATGACACTGTTCATTTAAAAATAATTTTTTCAAGACAATAATAATTCTGAACAGAGCTATATTATTTCTAAATACTCCCCTTCCTCATTCAGTAGAGATGCCCCAAGAGGAGAAATATATTTCCCACATATATTTTCAATTCTCAAACAATGAAAAAAACACCAAAAACATCATGAAACAGACCTCAAATGTTCGAACACCTCAAATATACAAGCAGCAGCTATACCTGGCATTTAGTAGGATTACTGTTTTTAACACCTCAATTATATCTCTACAGCAACTGTTTATCACATTATCACTCTCACTTTACGAGGGCTAATACACTCGAGAAAATTAACCCCAGATGCGCGGATTTCCAATTCAAAGAGGAAGGACAGAAGCTATGATTTAGAAACGATCAAAGAAAAAACCCGCACCTTGATACATGTAATTAGAGGAAATATTCTTCATCAGATCCGTCCTCTTCCTCCCCTTGGTATTCCTCCTCAATACCTACTACATTCCAATTCACAAATGGCTGCATGCCTCTCATATCCTCCAAATTAACTGTGGAGATAATAATGGACTCGTTCTCGGGCAAGTTCTGTTGGTTGTGCAACTTGGCCTGCACATCGTTCTTCAACACAAACTCCCCAGATGGGACATGAATTTCAACGCCAAATGCAGGTGATAATGGCTTCCCTTTGACTTCAACATGAGACACACTGCAACATGCAATAAAGTGCACAAAATTAGAAAACATGCAAAACAACACTCTGCCATAACAAAATGGGTGATCGAACCAGCAAGTCTAAACAAAAAATTAAAAACTCCTGATTGATCATTTATCTCATCAAGGAATTCCCTTTCCTGAGGTAATATTTCTACCTACACAAGTTTTCGATTGTCATGTTGCAATCCCAAAACCCATATGTCATGACAGCAAAAACATCTTATTGGCCTAGTGATCCTAAAATCTTATAAATCCTGTTCCTTTGCTCTATATCGTTCTATGGTTGTCTATTTCCAGTACATTCAACAGATAGGAACATAAGAATGACCACTAAAATTAAAAACTAAAAATTAAAAGAGGGTGTGAGGCTCCGAGCCTATCCATCACGATACTGGCACCTGGGGGGATTATTCTCTTTCTTATTAACAGAAATATCATGCATAACATGATAACAAACAAATGGTACATTTCTTCAACACTAAAAAGAGAATACACAGAAAAATGAAAAATACTTGGAGAAATGCACAGATAAAGCAAACATGTTTCCTCAGATAATATGCCATAAGGTATCAACAAACTGAGGCACAAAGACATGCACATAGCAGAACCAACAAGCTTCACTGATCAGCTGAAGCTAAAATAAAGAAAACGAAAGTAATTGTTGTTCTCGAGACAAAAGATGCGGAAAAGAGTTCACATGTAGAATTATTTCAGTTTCCCATCCTTCATATCAAAATGACTAAATCCAATTCATTTTCACCATTCCAACAAAAGTTATTCAACTTATCCTGCCACTTCATATCACCTTTTTACGAATCTATAAGCAATTTCTTAATGTAGTGGCGTTTGTTCTACTATTATAATAAAAATTTGAACCATGTGAACTTACCATTTTGCAGGCTTACTACAATAAAATTTTAAAGCCAAATATCCAACTGACAGAACAAGAGTGATGCTGTTACCACCACCCATGTTTCCCATCCCACAATCTCTCATCTTTGTAACATATTACTCAATCAGCATTATCACAGACTTAATGTGCCTCACAGTCAAATAAAAGTATTGAACCAATTATAGGAAAGGAGTCACAACATAAGTTTGTATTAAAACAATTGCAACATGTTTTCGGTCAAAAAAATTCTAGTAACATTTCTATAGTACTACTCGGTTCTCTTTTTAAATTTGTCCTTTTAAATAATTTCATCAACTTAGTCATTAACAAATCAACAAAAGTCAGTGGGGTGAGCATTTCGGGGATGGTAATAACACTCAAGAAAATAAGCACAGAACTAACCATATATAGAACAAGCCATCCATTTCTTGTCTCTGTACTCTACCCAGAAGCTCAATCTGCAAAATTCCACCTATGCAAAGAACTGGTTCTGGAAGCTTAAATGTCTGCAGGCGGTTCTCCTGTTTGTAAGTTATCTATTAGCTTATTTAAGTCAAGTATCTAGTCATAATCTAAGACTTCAAATCCAGGATTTCCAGTTTCTATACTGTAAAAATGTCTAGAAGATCCAGAATTTTCAGTTTGTAGTATGAATTGAACAGCCCAAAAGGTCTCTGCTCCAAAGTTTCTTTATTAAGTAATGGAAACATAAGGAGTGTGTCACTTCTTCCTCCCAAATGGAGGGAACATTTAGTATCAAAGGAACCATTTCACAACAAATAAGATGCAAATGCAGAAAGACAGTTAAGAAGTACAGAAGTACAGATCAGGTGGTACACACCTGAGTCATTGGGAACACTTCTGAAGTGTAGGTCCATACGAACTTGTTCTCATGACATGATTCATCCTTTGAATCACACTCTACAACCACAAGGGATTTGGCACAACCCATATGAAATCGCACAGCCTTGGCTGAATATATGGGTAAACCTACCTGGAAAAAAGCTGTAAATGGGAAAAGATAAAGAGACGCCAATCAGAGAAATTTAGAGAGTAAAAAATGGCAAAATCCACAATTTGGAAATTCAAACACTTACCTTGGAAAGGATGTATGCTGACTTCATTAATTACAACTAAATCAGACACCAACTTGTATATCAGAATCTCAGGCACTGCAGGGTCACTTTGGCCTTTACTTGACCAATACG